GTCTCATTTAAGGGACAGACTCTTGGTAAGTTGACTAGGCTCCAGTAAATGAACCCCTACCAATAGGCATTTGGGGACACAAACTTGACTCGATAACTTAGTGAGGGTTGGTAAGGGGCTAGTAAGGGGGAATGTAGATATGGGAGGGGATCTAAATAAGATCAAAATATATTTTATGATATTTGCAAAAATTTCATAAAATATGAAAAAAGCAACTAAGGATGAATAAAATCGAATTGATACACAAACAAGCAAACAATAAATACTGGTATATATATTTTGTTTGGCTAAAGTCTCTAAATTCATTGGTAAGAATTTCCTTTGTTACCATTACCAGACATCCTGTGTGTGTTATAAGGCACTGGGGAATAACCACGCCTCAAGAGCTTGTCTTTTGGGCCCATGAGATGGCTCAGCCTGTTACGTACCTGCCACCAGATTATGTAAGCCTGATAACCTGAGTTCAATCCCTGGAACCCATTCATAAGTGGAAGGGGAGAAATGACTCATCCTACTGCAGAGATACCTGTTAACTGATGTTTACTGTGGCTCTATTACAATAGCCAGGAAATGGAAATAATCTAGATATTCATCAGCTGATAAATGGATAATGAAAATATGGTACATTTACACAGGAGACTATTATTCAGCTGTTATGAGATTATGAAATAAATGGATAGACCTAGAAAGAGTCATCTGAGTAAGGTAACCCAGACTCAGAAAGAACATCCCATGTTCTTTAAGTGAATGCTAACTTTGAATCTCCAGATATGTGTTTCTATTGGAAAATCCTTAAGATCAGGAATCTAGGAAGGAACTGGGGGGGGGGGGTCTTCATCGGAGGGGAGAGAGAATGCAGTGATATAAAGTGGGGGAAGGAGAACAATAGAATAGGAAAGATTAAATGGGGTGGAAAATGGGAAGATTAAATGGGGTGGAAAATGGGAAGGCAGGACAGAAGAGGGAATGTAGGAGGGATAACTAAGCCTCGGGGCCTTTAGAAAAAGTCATACAGAAACCTGCTAGTACAGAAGCTTCTTAAATATATTCATACACATACTAAAAAAGTTTAAATGGAGGCCGGGCGTGGTGGCGCATGCCTTAAGTCCCAACACTTGGGAGGCAGAGGCAGGCGGATCTCTGTGAGTTTGAGGCCAGCATGGTCTACATAGTGAGTTCCAGGCCAGCTGGAGCTACAGGGAGACCCTGTTTCAAAAAGACCAAACCCCAAAAAAAAGTTTAAATGGAGTTACCCTATAATAGGGGAACAATGCCCCTACCACACACCACAGGCCAGCAAATAAAAAGCCCAATGCCAGAAATGGACTCTTTTGGAGTTGTTGACTGGGGAGGGGGGCCTATAGACCCTCAAACAATACTGACTATTACAGCTGTTCTTGGTTACCCACCAGAACTTGATGGTAAGACCCCATTACTGAAGATACTACATATGTGAGTCATAAAACAAACATGGAAAAATCAAGCTGGTACTGACCTCAAAACCTCATGTCTACCGGCTAGCTTTCATAGTGCAGGAAGGTGCTGTGTATGTTGCTAGAAGAGAAAAGGAATCATTACCCTTAGCTAGCTGTAGGCCCTGCAAGCTACAGTTACTGGCCCTGGCAAGATAAGCTGCAATAGGGGCACAGATGTTAGAGGACTAACCAACCACTTTCTGACTGGATTTAAGACCCACTTCACAAGATGGAATCCTTGAGGCTGGAGAGATGGCTCAGTGGTTAAGAGAACTGACTGCTCTTGCAAAGGACCCAGGTTCAATTCCCAGCACCCACATGGCGGCTAACAACTGTCCGTAACTCCAATTCCAGGGGATCTGATGCCTTTTTCTGACCTCCACAGGCATTGCGCACAACATAAGTACACTTACACACATGCAGGCAATATACTCATACACACAAAAAATAAATACAAATGCATTTTTTTTTAAATTCTATTTTACAAGTATGTGTGTACTACCTGCATGTGGGTAAGTGCACCCATGTCATGCAATGCCCACGGAGGTCAGAAGAGGCTGTCGGATCCCCTGGAACTGGAGTTACAGACAGTTGTTAGCTGCCATGTGGGTGCTGGGATTTGAACCC